TGCCGGCGTGCTGGAGGGGTTGGGAGGTAGACACCCCATCATCCGGGCCCCAGGGTTCCCCCCCCACGCCACCCCCAAGTGCCCAGCCTGCCCCGTGTTCCCCCGCCGGCGCAGGTGACAGGCTGCTGAGACAGTTCTGATTCAGCGACAGCTGTGCCAGCTACTCGGACGCGGGGTGGGCGCCTCGTGAGCCGCCTCGCCCTCCCGCAGTCGGGGCGTGGGCTGGGGGGTCGGGAAAGGCGAGCGGAGTGGGTGACAGCCGGGAAGTGCGTGTTTGCTCCTCGCTCGCTCCCTCCCACTCCCAGTTGCGTTTCCACACATACAGCTTCCCACGGGGGACCGGAGGCGGCTGGTGTTCTCTGAACGCAGGGAACTGGCTCTCTCTGTGGTGTGCTGTTTACTTCCCTCCGCTTCTCCCCCTCTGTCCTCTCCACCTCAGCACCCCAGGCAGCCTCCCGCGGAGCAGCTGGGAAACCTGCTGCAAAACACTGCAATCATGGGACTTCCTGGACCCGAGCTGTGCCCCAGGCTTGCTCTGTCCTGCCCTGCCCTGGGGCCACTTGGGGCGTGCCTAGGCCCTGGAGAGGAAGGCCCTCGGGCCTCCCTGCATCCTTCACTCTTCTCCCTGCCCCTCCCCCCGCCCCCTAACCGTCCTGCGGAGGCGCTGCCCGACTGCCTTTTCTGCCTTTTTGGCCGGGCTTCTGGGCCTCCTCCGTGTGTGGCCACCTGTCCGGGGAGAGGGTGAGACAGCTGACAGTGTGTCAGGACTCTGCATCCAGGAAACTGCGGAGCTGGCTTCTTTGCCACCGCAGACTCCCTGTTCCTGATGGGGTGTCCAGAGTTCCCTGCCACCCAGGCTTTCAGGCAGGGCCCCCAAATCTGCTCGTGGGACACACCGTCTCCTTAAGGAGCCTGACAAAACCTTCCTTTTCAAAGCGTTGGTCCCAGCGGGGAAGGATTCAGCCTCTCCCAGCAGAAGCTGAATGAACAAAGAATGCCAGGGAGGCTGGGAGGGCTCCAGCTTGGGGTGCCGCCTGCCTGAAGTTCACCCCATTTAAAAACCACCTCTTCGCCACCCCCTTCTGCTCCACTGCCATGGTTACCAGCTCCCTGTCCTTCTGCAGCACTCGTTGCCCAGAGGCAGAAACAAACAAGGGCATTTTAAATGTTCTTTTAAATATCCAAACACTGCCTGGGTATTACGGTAGTGGTGAGAAGGAATAAAAGTTCTGACAGTTCCCGTTTCCTTCTAACCCGGCGACCCTGAATAAATCTCTTACAATGGAGGGCTTCTCAGCCACCAGAATAGGGAAGGAAGCTTATTGAGAGACCAGAGAGTGGTTTTCAGAAAAAGAATGATTTGTCAAGTTGGTTCTTGCCTCCCTACCCCTTCCAGCTTTAATCCCCCAGCTGATCTGAAGAACCTGCCATCGCCTGTGCCACCCCTCCTTGTCACTGTCATCTGTGGGCTCTGTGCCTCCTCCTCATGCCTCTGGTTCCAACACCTGACTCAGCCTCAACCCCCACCCGGCTGCTGTGAACATTTTTTTGGTGAGCTTGGCTTCCTCAGAGACTCATGACCCCTGTGCCTCAAGGACAGCCTTACCCCTCTACCCTGCTGTCCCGTGGGTGTCCTAGACCTTTTTGTAACCAAAAGACAGTGACACCTCTGCCCTCTTCATTTCTACTCCTACTTCCAGGCCCACACTTCTTTCTTTTCCAGCTTATTTGCTCTAATAACCACATTTGAGCAATTATTTGACTCTATTTGACCTCCGCTCTCCGCAGGATTTATCCTTGTCCTTCTTACATTCCTTTTACTCAGCTTAAGTTTCATGTGCTGTCACTGCACCCTTCCTTTGTACACGTCCCTCACTTGCTGTTTCCTAGGACCACAGCCTAGCACACTGGACAAAAACAGCAAGGCTAATTGTTGTCACTCAAAATTTGGGGTCACAAATCTCAGCTGGGCTCTTCACACTGCCCTTGGGCATTTCCCTAGTCAGTTTACTTTCCCACAGTCTGAAAAAATCATTGCACCTTCTGTCCTCAAAGAGACAACACTCCTCCCCTTCCTCACCCTGAGTTGAGAACCTTGCTCCTTTTTTCACTGAGAAAATAAAAACAGTTTGACAAAAGTGACTTCATCTTCCACCCTGCCAGCCTCTCTGCTGGGACCCTGCCTTCCCTCCTGTTGCAGGACTACAGAAGGCAGACCCACCCACTTGGCACCAGGATCTCGTCCCCTCAGGACTGTTGCTACCTTTGGAGATAATGTGAGTGTCCCTGAGGCCTCCTGTGCTGAAATTTAATCCCTGTTGTGAGATAGAAAAAGGGTAGAAACTCTTAACTGCAGTGTTTAGAGAAAGGGCTTTGGAAAGTGGTTGGCCTTAGATAAGGTCACTCTGGTACGGCCGCCACTGGATAGATCCTGGCGGCTTTCGAAGCAGAGAGAGAGACACAGACAGACTCACAGACATGTGCACTCCCCATTTCCTGCCAGGAGATGCTCTGCATCGCCTCAGACTTCTGCACCTCTAGAGCTGCCAGCCTCAATACAAGCACACCTCTTTCCTTTGTAAAGTAGCTGCCTTGGATGTTTCCTTACCATAATGAAATTCACCTCCGCAAAAACACATGTACTCCCCCCCCACACTGTACACGCATGTGTGTGTGCCTCCGACCTCCTGACCCATATTCCTATGCAGGGTTGCTCCATTTGCTCTTTTTCTGCCCTTTCCATGTGTGCACACCTGTGCTCCGATCTCACACAGTCAGACTTCACCCTGGCACTAGACCAGACCACTCTCATCAAGGTCCCCAATGACCCTGTCCTGCCAAATCTGTTGAACAGTTGCTTCGCTTCATCTCCCTCACAGCAAAGAAGACTACAGAGTGGACCGTAAGTAACGGGGAAAGAGCAGACCATGGTATCCCAGAAGCCCAGTGAAGGAAGAGGTGAATTCCCTTCTGCATTTCCTTTCTTGGTTCTGTTGTCCTGAGCCTGTAGGTCTTCTAGGTCCTCTCTCAGGTTGCCCCAGAGCTCTGGCTTAGACGTCCTCAGTATTTATTCTCTCTCCCTTGGTGAGCTGAGGTGAGCTTTCTGCAGTGGCTGTGGTCGGCCATGAGGAAGCACAGCGTAGGATTTTCAGATGCCATCCAAGCATGTACACGTGTGTGTGAGCGAGTGGGTCACACAGGTTGTGTTGAAGAAATGATGCGGATGGTGGGCCATGGCTGTGTGTTGTTGCCTTTCAGCTCCTCGTGTATCTCCTCTACGGCATGGTGCAGTAGAAGAAGCTGGCCGTGTTCCTCCAGGTCTGACATGATTATTGTATGGTCTTTTAATCTCTCTACTGTCCTCACTGTCAACTTCATCCACCTTCTTTCAGTCTTTCTACTGTCATTCTCACCATGGCAATTGGCGCTGTGTGCTTTCTTGTTCACAGTCGTCACAGTGAAGAACAAGACACTCGTAGCTTCTTTCCCCAAAGCCCAACTAGCCTAGCCCCAAACCCCTCTGTGGACCGGTAACGAAAGCCAGGGGTGCTTGGTGAAGCGTGGCTGGGAGTCCTAGTGATGGAACGGGAGTGGGGACGCTTCTTCTGGGGGTGCATTTTGAAAAATGTATGAGGAAGTTTTTGTTGTCGCAATGATTGGCAAAGGGCCTGTGACAGGCCCCGCCGGGGGTGGCAGGTAGAGACGCTGTACCGCTTGCGATGTTCAGGAGAGTCCCAGGGCAGGAATGGTCCTGCTGAAAATGCCACTAATGCGCCTTGAGAAGGCCTAGAACTGTCAGGGTTATGCTTCTGGACCCAGAGTGGCTCTCCTCCACCTGAGGCCTGTGGAGAAGCATGACAGGGATCTTGGTCAGAAGGAAGGATGAGTTGGTGCTAGAAAGGCAGCCGCCCGCTCCTTTCCCTCCCCTGCTTTCTTCCTCTTCTCTCTTCTGATGCTCAGGTCCGGTCTTCCTCGTCCCTGGGAACTTCCGGCCATGTCTCCTTTCATTCTGCCAGTCAGAAGTCCAGAGAGTGATGGGATTTATTCTCTTTCAGTTCTGATGTGGAAAAGTCTATGCAAACGGAAATGGTGCTGTATTCTCGTTGGGATCCAGTGGAGTACACTGAGTGAATGCAGAGGTGCTGGGCGTGAGCTGACTGAACCCTAGAATTCCACTTTGGCCGCTCATTAGCTCTTTTGAAGTTGGGCAAATTGTGTTACCTCATTTAAAATGTCTTCATCTAAAAGGATAAAAATAGTAGCTACTTCACAAAATCATGTAAATGACATAAAACTCATAGTAGCCAGGTACGGTGGAGCACACTTGCAATCCCAGCACTCAGGAGGATGAGGCAGGAGGATTACTGCAAGGGCAAGGCCAGCCTGGGATACACAGCAAATCCCTAACCCCAAAACAAAGTGAACAGTGGATGTAGCTCAGTGTGAGGATCCTAGGTTCAACCCCCAGTGCTGCAGAAACAAAACATGTACGGTAGAAAACCTGATAAGCACTGCCTTGGTTTTGTATGTCCTAGAAACCAAACTGGAGGCCAGCAGGTGGGGGGCAAGTGGTTTATATGGGAGGTGATCCCAGGGTGCTGGAAGAAGGATGCAGGGCAGAATCACAGCCGATATCTGGGGGCATGATTGGAATTCCTGTTAGAATTGTGCAGCCCAAGAAGGGGAGGCAGAAGGATTTCTGCGGCTGCGCTGGCTTATCCTTGATGAAAGATTACCCCAGGAGGACTCACTGCTGCACCTCCTGTAGCTTTGGAGAAGGCCTAGGCAGAGAACATGCCCTGAAGGGAGTCGTCCCTAAATCTGCACCCCATTGTAGTGTTCAGAACCCTGAGGTGAAGGCAGGTGCAGCGTCTGCTGCAAGTGCTCGGTCTGTTGTAGGTATTGTTACTTTATTAGAGTAGATTATTTGACTCAATACTTTAGATACTTTACTGTGTGTAGGAATTACCTGGGGATCTTGTTACAATGCAGATTTTTGATTCAGTAGGTTTGGAGTAGACCAGAGTTCTACATTTTAGCAAGGTCTGTGTGATACCAATAGTAACAGCAAAGATTGATTTAATTGATGCACATTTATCAAGCACTTCCTGTATCATAGTTACCATGTTACCATAGTTACTAACAAAAACTTCTGTGGTAGAATGATGTCCACGTCGCTGATGTCCACATTGTTCCAAAGATGTTCACATTGCAATCCGTAGTCTCTGAATATGGTACCTTACGTAGTGAAAGGAGAGTTTCAGATACGACCAATTTGAGGATCTTGAGAAGGGGCAGTCATGCTGTGTTATGAGAGTTGGCTCAATACAATCACAAGAGTCTTGTAAGAAAGAGGCCAGAGCCTGGGGCAAAGATGTCACAGCCCTAGCTTTGAAGGTGGAGAAGGGGCCAGGAGACACTCATATAAATGTGAACAAAATGAGATCTACATCAATCAGGATAGTTTACATTAAGCTATAGTAACAAATGATCCCTAAGTCTCAGTTGCATAAGCTAAAAATGATGGGTTTATTGCTCATGATCTTTATACGGGATTGGCTGAGATATTTATCAGTCAGGACCCAGGTTGCTGGAACAGCTACCATCTAGAACATTCAGGTCATAACTTCCATTTACATCTCACACGTTACAGTCCATGTTTAAGGGGAAAGGGAAGCACAGTTCTCTCATGTGCCCAGAAGGTAGAGAGCTAGAAATGTTTGTTGGGTCTACATCTGGTATGGCTGAATAAGCTGCTCTTTAGCGTGGGAACCTTGTTATGTATAACAACAAAGAACTCTGGCTAAAGCGTCAAAACAAGATCACCTTTCTTCCTCCCTGTCTCTTTCTCTCTCCTTTCTTTCTTTCTTTTCGTTTCTTTCAAATGTGTGGTACTGGAGATCAAACCCAGGGCTCTGTGCGTTGTAGGCAAGTGTTCCACCTCTGAGTTGCATCCCTAGCCCTATACAAAACAGTTGGCTAAAATCTCAGGATAAAATATTTTCTTTACATTACTTGAGGATAATGAACAGAGACAGGCAGATAGTGGAAGGGAACTGACGTTTGAAAGAAGCAATGACCTGGAGATTTCCTGGGTGAGAGGAGAGGGGAGATGCTGGTCAAGAGGTACACTTCTTATACTCAGAAGATGAGCAAGTTCTGGGCATGTAAGCTATAGCATGGGTGCTGATGGATATTATTTGGATTATGCTAATTATTACACTATATACACAATCATATTATATACCTTGAGTATATAACTTCTGTCTTTTGAAAATTCAAAAATTTTAAAGAGGCAGTGTCCTTTTTGTTTCAGTTTTGGGTCTGACAGTAGGGCCTGATCTGTACCATTTAAAATGATTAAAATGCTAACAGAATGTGTATGTGTTCACATGCAATCTCATTGGCTTGAAGAGCATGAGGCCAAGGTTTAGGGACTCTTCAGCTGACGGAAAGTAAAAAAAAAGAAATTCCAGGAAAGTGGGACTAGAGAGGAGGAGACAGGTGGTAATTTGGAGGAGATAGGTGATTTGTTATTGACAATGCCCAGGATATATTCCACACTTGCTCATCATAGGATGAAAGAGAAAAATGTGGCCCCCTCCCATTAGAAAAGATAATCAGTGGAGATTATCTAGCACAAGATGGCCTACATGTTGGATATTACAGACATTGTTACAGTCAGCAAGATTGAGCAAGGGAATCCATTAAATACACATATCAGGTTATTTTATAATTACCCGAAAAGTCAAATGCAAGGAGTACAAGAGATTAACTACACACTAGAAGCCCAAAACATTCAATCGAGAGCCTAGATCCCTGCAGTGTCCCACACAAGTCCATCTAAAGGCTTAGAGTCCAAGGCAATGTCCTCCTTGAGTCCAGCCAGTGGCCTGGAGCCCACGGCAACGTGTCGTGCTTATCTGCATTGAGGATCTGCCCCTGGAAGACCCAAAGGCCAGTCATTGGTGGAAGCCAGAAAATCTATGCTTGTGAGATGAAGGATCTGTGCCACCAAGTTGAGGGATCCACATTGGAGCCAGGAAGTGATACTCACAGTAAAGGCCAGAGCTCCCCTGATGAAAGCAGCAGCGATTCCCAGCGACAGGGAGGTCCCAAGCTCCTCCTCCAATGAGAACAGCCTCATTTGCAGCAGGAAAACCATCCACAGCAAGCTTCTCCTAGAAAATCAACAGGCCAAGATCTTCCTCCCCAGGTCTCTTCTTATGGCTATTGGTAACAGTCTTCAGGTAGATCCTCCATGTGCAGACCACAC